GATGGTGGTTGTGGTACTGTTGGTGACGATGGTACTGATGGTCATGACGGTGGTTGTGGTGCTGTTGGTGACGATGGTACTGATGGTCATGATGGTGGTTGTGGTGCTGTTGGTGATGATGGTATTAATGGTCATGATGGTGGTTGTGGTGGTGGTAGCTATGGTAGCGATGGTGGTGGTGGTGGTGGTGTTACTGCTTGTCTCATGGTGATGGTGGTGGAGGAGGAAGGTCTGAATAAAGACATTACAGAGGCAGAGTTGCCCTGTTTTTCACCTTCAAGTTCACCCTCATCTCAACAGTCTCATGGTCAGCCTTCTGACCTCCCTGTCCTCTCCTCTTTCCTGGGGAGCCTGCCGTGATCCCTCTTGCTACCTGTAACTTGTCCCTTGGAAGCAGTTTTTCTGCTTCTCTGTGCATGGTCTGTGTGTGGCCTGAGCCATGATGCTTGGGGGCTGCTTGGCTTCCAGTAGTGGGTGGGGTGGATGAAAGGGTTGAAGCCCAGGGTCTGAATCTTGGCTCTGCTCCTCACTGACAGTGTGACCTTGGAGAGGTCTCACTCCACCTCTTGGTGTCCAGCTTTTTAATTTATGAGCTGGGGATGCAATGCACATTTTTTCTCCTCCTCCTCTCGCGGAGGCACGAGTGTGGGCAGCCGTGAGCATTCCTTTCCTATCGCACCGGCTCCAGCGCTCCACCCGTGTGGAATGCCAAGGGTTCACGCTCCACCTCTCTGAGGGAGAGTGTGTAATTAAGGGGGGGTCTGAGGGAGAGTGTGTAATTAAGGGGGGGTCCTGGGCTGGTATGAGCAGAGCGGCAAATGCACTGTCGTTCTGTCCTCTTTGGCCAGACCGCTATGTACAGCGGACCAGGATACACGCTCCTTGATGATCATGAAATGGGTGTCACACCCTGCCCCTGAGTTACACAGTGCACAGTCTCATCACAGGGCAGCCTGCCCTTCTCCTGGGGGCCTTGGGTTCCCTAGTTTTAGCTGGGACATAGGGAGGGAAAGAAGCATGCTGGGGAAACAGGCTCCGGCTAGGCGATCCCCCACGGGTCCTAAGTTAGTTCTCTGTCTCTCCCACCCACAGCCCTGCCCAGTTGTACCTGGTGGGCAAATGCAGTGGAAGGTGGCCAGTAGGTCCAGGCAGGTGCTGCCTGGGTGGCAGGGCTGGGACAGGCACTCGTTGTGATCGGCCTCACAGCGGGAGCCCGTGTAACCGGGCGGGCAGAGGCAGTTGAAGGAGCCAGGGGTGTTGAGGCAGGAGCCGCCATGTTCACAGGGACTGGGTCCTTGATGGGCTGAGAGGAGAGGAGAGCTGAGATCCACGGAGGCCAGGGGTGGAGGGACAAGGAGGCCAAGGTGTCAGGGGAGGTGTGGGGGTCTGTCTGCGGAGATGGGACTGATGGGGACGGGGGCTGTGTGCTTAGAATGGAGCAGGCAGGGACAACCTGTGGGGTCCGGAGGGTTGAGCACTGGGCTAAGAGCTGAACCCAGTTGAGACTACTCCACAGAAAATAGGCCTTTTGTGCTTTTGCTGTATCTATCTATCTATCTATCTATCTATCTATCTATCTATCTATCTATCTATCTATCATCTATCCATCCATCATCTATCTATCTATCTATCTATCTATCCATCCATCATCTATCTATCTATCTATCTATCTATCTATCTATCTATCTATCTATCTATCTTTTCCACTTGTGTGTGTGTTTGTGGTATGCATTTGTGTGATGACACGTTTGCATGTATGTGGGCACGCATGTGTGGGTGGGCCCCAGTGTGTGAATGTGAGGGTGCAGGTTGATGCTGGGAATCCTTGGCTGCTCCCCCACCCCTGCTCACTGAAGCAGGGTCTGTCAGATCTGGACGTTGTAGGTATGGCTAATCTGTCCAGTCAGCTTGTTCTGGAGGAGCCCCTGTCTTTGCCTTCGGAGGCTGGAATTACAGATGGACCCTCATGCCCACCTGGCATTTGCCACCTGTGTGGGTTCTGGGGATCCGACTTCCAGTCCTCACGCTTGTGTGGCAAGTCCCTTAACCACGGACCACCTCACCAGCCCTGCCTGTTGTTCTTCTGAGATAGTCTGGAACTCAGTATGTAGTTGAGGCTCCTCCTGCTTCTGCTCCCTGGATTCTGGGGTTACAGGCACGTGGGATTACGTGACACTAAGTCACGCCTGGTTTAGTTTTTCACCTTGATAAACCATCCGCTGTGTCCTCTGTTGAGCACAGAGGCCTGGCCTCAGAGGGGCTCTGTGGGGAAACCCTCACCCATTTGACACTCATCCAGATCCTGGTGGCAGGTGGGTCCCGAGTAGCCAGGCTGGCATAAGCAGAGGAAAGAGCCTGTCAGAGGGTTGGTGCTACACTGGGCATTCCCATGGCATGGCTGGCTCAAGCACCCATCTTCCTGGTGGCACAGGAGGCCTGTGGGAGACCGAGGGGCAGGGCTCTTGCAGACTGCTTGGGGCTCCGCGTTGGGGACTCCGCGCTGGGGACTCCGCGGTGCCCTCCAGGAACGTTCTCCCCTTCCACGTCCCCACCCCCGCATCCTCTGCCTGCACCTGTGCGTCCAGGTGGGCAGAGGCAGGAAAAGGAGCCCACGCGGTCAATGCAGGTGGATCCCGGGGCACAGGTGGCAGCTGCACAGTCATCCAAGTTCTGGTCACAGCCTGGGCCACCCCAGCCACTCACACACACGCAGTGGAAGCCCCCGGCTGAGTTCTGGCAGGTGCCACCGTTTCTGCAGCGAGGGGGACCCTGGGCTTCACATTCATCTACGTCTTCAGAGCAGTCCCAGCCTGCAGGGGACAAGAGAGGGGACGAGGGCTGGCACTGGGATGGAGGGAGGGGGCGCTGCCGCCGCCCCGCACTTGCTCTGGACGACTCACCCTTCCAGGTCTTTGGGCAGAGGCAGGCGTAGGTGCCCAACCCATCCAGGCAGGTGGCCCCATTCTGGCATTGGTGCCTGACACAGTCATCTGGATTCATTTCGCAGTCCAGGCCTGTGAAACCTGACAGGATCATAGAATCAGCCATGGAGCCCACCCAGGGGAGAAGACCCTCCCTGCTCAGGGAGAGGGGTACAGGAGAGCCGCCGGGAGGCTTTACCTGGGGGACAGAGGCAGAGATGAAAGGTGGTGTCTCCCTCTGGCACCAGCTGGCAGGTGCCTCCATTGAGACAGCTTCCAGGAGAGCAGGGTCCCTTCCTGAGCTTGCACTGCAGCCCCTCCTGCCCCACGGGGCAGAGACACTGGAAGGAGCCCAAGGTGTTATGGCAGGCGGTCCCCTTAGGGCAGGGTCCTGGCTCCCGGAAGCATTCGTTGACATCATGTTCACAGATGTGACCCTCGAAGCCAGGTGGGCAGCGACACTTGATCTGGGGGTATGTGGCCAGGCACACGCCTCCGTTGGCACAGGGCTTGGCTGAGCAGAAGTCTCGGAGCTGGCATTGCTCACCTGCAGCAGGGCACAGGGGTGGGGTGGGCAGGGACTGTTTCCGTCGCAGCTGGGTGTAGTTTATGCAGCTAAGCTTGCTAGGCAGTCTGTGTGGATGCGCTATACGCTCTGCCTTCTTTTCCCGTCTCTCTCCCGTTACTTTCTTGCTCTCTCTATCCTGGTGCTCCATGCCCTGCTTTAGTTTTGCTGTATGTCACAAGGGTTGTAATTACACTGTTCTTATCTTCTACTTTGGAAAGCACACGTAGCTAACAGTGGAGTTTTACAAATTGGCATACCCTGGGAAACTTGGGTTCCCTGCAGTGACCTTCTTGGGGGAGGTGAAAAGCCTCAGAGCCACCCTGCTGGGTCACTTTGCCTCTCTGAGCGGATTTCTTGTTGTTATTTAGATTTTGGTTTTCTTTAAGGCAAGGGCTCACATCACCATGAATCTGAAGATGACTTTGAACTTCTCTCCCTCCTTTTTTGACACAGGGCCTCTCTAAACTGTCTTGGCTGTCCTAGAACTTGCTATGTCCTGGAACCAGGCTGGCCTCAAACTCATAGAGATCCTTCTGCCACTGCCTTCTGAGTGCTGGGGTTAAAGGTGTGCCAGCATGTCTGCTCTGACTGTGAACTTCTGATCCTGCCTCTACTTCCTGATTTCAGGCGTGTGTGCCGCCACAGCTGAAGCATGCACCGTTGCAGCAAGCGCAGCCATTCATGCACGCCAGGCAGGCTGTTTGCAACTGAACTGTTATCTCCAGCTCTACTTTCTGTTCTTTTGTTTCTCTCTTTCCACCGTGCGCTGTGGATCCCAGGGACTGAACCCAGGCTGGCAGCACTGGCAGCAGGTGCTACCCACTGAACCATGGCCCAACTGTCCCCAGTTTCTTTTTTCCCATATATATATATTTGTGTGTATGGATGTTTTGTTTGTATGTATGTCTGTATGTCTGTGCACGTGTGTGCCTGATACCCAGAGAGGCCAGAAGAAGATCTGTATGTAGCGAGATGGTTTCTAGGTTGGGTTAAGTGGGGTGGGAAGACCTATTCTAAAAGTGGGCAGCACTGTTCCCTGGACTGGGGTCCTGGACTGCATAAGAAGAAAACAAGCCGTGCCTCAGCGTTCATCTGTACGCTGACCGGTTTTGTCTACCTTGACACAGTCTAGGATCACCTGAGGAGAAAACCTCTGCTGAGATCAGGGTGGCCTGTGGGCATGTCTGTTAGGGATCCTTTTGATCGTTCATTGGTGTAGGCGGGCTCAGCTCACTGTGGGCAGCGCCATTCCCTAGGTGAGGACCTGAACTATAAGGCAGGAGGGAGCTAGCTGAGAAGAAGCCAGCAAGGATGCTGTGTGACTGACAGCTCTGGGTTCCTGCCTTGACTTCTTCTCCGTAAGGGCTGTCACAAGGAAACATCAGCCACACAAACCCTTTCCTCCTCGCGCTGCTCTTTGCCAGGTGATTATCAGGGCAACAGACATGAAACAAGAGCACCCCGCTTCCTGTCTGTTCACACCACATGGCTCCCTCACCATGATGTGGAACCGGCAGGCTGAACCGGAACAAACCCTTCGGAAGCTTTTGCCTGGTGTTTGTCGCGGCATCCGGAAGACTGACCAACGCACCCCTCCTTAGGTGCTGGCCTACACACCCCTGGGTGCTTACCTGTCCACCCGGGTTCGCAGGAACACCGTGGGCGGCCTGAGGCCTGGACGTAGCAGTGGCCCCCGTTGAAACAGAAAGAAGGTGGACAGAGGTCTTCCAGATGGATTTGGCATCGCTCTCCGGTGAAGCCGGAGGGGCAGGTGCAGGAGAAGCTGGGGGCCGGTGGAGAAGCAGGGCTAGGGGAGCTTGGGGGCGTGGGAAGCAGGGCTTGGCAGTTGCCCCCATTCTTGCAGAGTTGGGTATCACGGCAGGGGTCAGGGAACTGGCAAGTCTCACCCAGAAATCCAGGGGCACACCTGGGGTAGAGGGACATTTCAGGCCAGCGGTCCCTCTTCCTGCTCTCCCTCCTCTTCTGCCTCCACTTGAGTCTTCCCTCCTTTTCTCACTCCTCGTGCTCTTTCCTGCTCTCCCTCCTCCTCCTCTCCGTTCCCACTCCCACGAACCACACTCACTGGCAGGTTCCTTGTCCCTGAGGTAGCCTCAGGCAGGTGCCTCCGTTGGCACAGGGTTCTGGGGAACCTCCACACAGAAGCTCTGGGGAAGACACAAGAGGAGAGGCGGCCCAAAGACCTGTGATGGCCCTTCCCCCTCCAGGTGCTCCCCCACGTGGCCCAGGTGCGCGGTGCCTGCGTGGTGCTCTCTGCCATCCTCTCCTTCACACCCCAGTCCCAGGCTCCACATGGTCTCTGTCCCAGATCTTCCATTCAGGACTCTGTTATTACTCCAGCCCCCTTCCTGTTTATTCTCCATCCCCCGGAAGCAGGACAACTGGGATTAGGAGGGAGCCAAGGGCGCTTCTGGGAGGTGAATGGCTGAGCCGCCTAAGGGATTTCCTTCAGGAAAGGCCAGCAATGAGTCACTGGGGGTGGGGACAGCTGGACAGAAAGGGACCTGGTGGTCCCTTCTATGTCTCCATGTCCTGCTTCTCGCTCCTCTGTTCCCTGTAGCAGGCGGTCAGCTTTCTCTCCTGTCTGTCCTATACCAAGAGCCCTCTCTCTGCCTCTAACTCCAGGGTCAGCTGGCTTCTCCCTGGGGGTGGGCACCCTCCTTTCCACTCCACAGCAGGCACCACCCCTGGCACCAGGCCCAAAGCCTGGGTCTCAGCAGCCCCTGGGGCAGTCAGCGCTCCCTGCAGGTTGCTCCTACAGAATCAATCTCCTCCCTCCAGGGTTCCTTCACAGCCTGGGCCTTGGCCCTCTTTCCCAACCTCACTAAGCATCTCCCGACCCTTTCACCTCTGGCCTTGCCTCACCTCTGGTCAGGATGAGTGAGAAACTGGGTAGCAAGAGCAGCAACAACAGCAGCAGGGACCGGGACTGCATTCCAGGCGCCTGGCCCTGGTCCGGATCTCTCCCCCTTCAGGCAAAGACCCTCAGAGTCCTTGTGGTCATGCAAGGCCACCTCCCCGGGCTCCACCGCCCCTCCTTCCTTCTGGGCCTGCTGCGTGCCTCAGTCTGAGCTGTTTCCTGAGTCACACAATGTCCTGGACACCCTACTCATGGGGGGGGGGGGTTGGTGTATGAGGGAACACTAAGGGAGGGTGAGGGAGGGGCCTCTGTCCGCTGACAGGCCCTGAGAAGAGGACAGTGTGGCTGGTGGACAGGTGAGAGGAGGGGGGACCGGTTTGCTCCTAGGGCCCAGGGCAGGGGTTCTAAACTTTGATTATGTCTGCTGTTTAAAGATGTTTGAGAAGTGCTCAATACTGAGCATAGTGTCTCATACGTGGTAAGCGTGTGCCCCACTACTGAGCTCCCCTGCACCCCCGGTGCCCATCATCAGTCTTAAATGATTGCCCAGGGTTCGGCCGTGTGAGCCCTAGGTTACTTTAGCCATTGTTCCCTTGAGACACGAGACACGTCAAGCAGGGTCTCAGCTTTTAAGAACACGATAAGCTATTGTGCAGAACATACAGAGTTCACACGTGTGTGTGTGTGTGTTTGCCTGCTTTCTTAGGCTAACTGCTAGGATTAAAACTCCTGAGTCTACAGGTAACCACGGAATCAAACTGTAGTCATTGAAACCTGGCTGTCGTCCTCCAGCATCCGGTGCAGGACTCTATTCCCGTCAGCGGCGTCTGTGTCTACTCTCCCAGCCCTTGATATTCCACAGCCTTACAATTCCGTTTGTGCTAAGCGTGGGGCAGGCACCTGGAGAGTTGGAGTTCAAGGCCAGCCTGGGAAGACTCCACTTCAAAACAGACAGCTTTTTATTTCAAACACCAGACAACCCCCACCACATTTTATTGTGAGAATTAGCTTTATTTTCACATGTGTGATTACGTTCGTGTTTCTTTTGTGCGTTTCCTGTCTGTGTTTTCAGCCCATTGTCCCATTGATGTGTCATTTTCCCATAACCTTCCCCACTTGAGGAGGCCGCTGAGATCTGGGATATCTGAGATCTGAAATCAGTGTGCAGAGTCCCGTCATCCTTGTCTGGTTTACTGATGGGGCCCCTGATGTTGGTGACCTGCAAAGGGAAAGGAGGAAGGGGCACCTGGTTCCTGGCAGGACCGCAGAGTCTTTGCTGCCAGTTTCACGTCGCTCAGGAGGGAGCCTGGGCACCCGGCTGGAGCTTGTGAGAAAGGAGAAATGGTGTTGGAGACAGGGAAGTGGTGAGGCAGGGGGGAACCACGACTGGGGGTGTGGGGGGGGGGGGCGGGGAGGGCAGCGTGGGCGGCTGCTCTGGGTACCTTTCGCTTTATCCGACTGGGGTCTAGGCACTGCTCAGGGTACCTGTGCTGCTCCGGGGTCCCCATAACCTCTCACTTCTAGGACCTTACTTCTCAGATTTCACCGAAGCTTCCTTCTGTTTCCCAGTGGCTTCCCAGGTGCGGACGCAGATGTCTGGAACATCATCATCGTTGTAGGGAGGCTACCGTTCGAGGGTACAGCGGTGTAAAGCCACCCCCTCCTTACGCCATCATACAATTGACTTTTCTTTCCTTGTATATCCCTGGAGAAGGATAAATGTCAATCATTCACGCTTCAGTTATAGGAACCTTGCACATTAAGAAGGGCAGCGTTGGTGTGGGCGTTTCCTGCCACGAGCCTGGCTCCTTCTCTCGAATGCCCTTTGCTGCTACCCGGTTAAGAAACCAGAAGCTCTCTCCGGTGCTTCCCGTCCCTAGTTTGCTTGTTTTTCATATTGTGATTATTTTTAACCACCTAACTCCCAGGTTATACATTTTATTTTATCTTCCTTGTGATCCGGTTGATAGTTCTACAATCAGCAGCGTCTCCAAGAGTGGGGGTTTGAATGACAGAAAAAAAGAATTGTAAAACCCGCTCGGGCTGGAGAGAGGGCTCAGCGCAGCAGTGACTGCAGCCGGGCAGTGGTGGCACACGCCTTTAATCCCATCACTCAGGAGGTAGAGAGAGGAGGATCTCTGTGAGTCTGAGGCCAGCCTGGTCTACAGACCAGCCAAGGCTACACAGAGGGACCTCGTCTCAAAAAAACAAACAAAAAAACCCAACCAACCAACCAACCAAACAAACAAACAAACAAAACAAAACAAAACAAAACAAAAAACAAAAAAAAAGAAAGAAAGAAAGAAAAAGAAAAGAAGAAAAAGGGAGGGAGCAGTGACTGTTCTTTCAGAGGACCTGAGTTTGGTTCCCAGTACCTGCTTCCCACGGCTCACAACAGCCTGTAACCTTAACTTCAGGCATCAAACTCTCTGTTGACTTCTGCAGACATCTGCATACACACACACACACACACACACACACGCGCGTGCACGCACACACACACACACACACACCTCCTCAAATATTTAAATATAAATTCTGCAACAAACAAACTAATTTGGCCCTGTTGGGAGGGAGGAAGGGAAAGTCCAGGGTCCTAGTTAGAGGTGCCGTTTGGGACCAACAAGAATTTCTGTCCAATTAGCTTACTTTTGAGCTGGACCATGCTCTGCTGTGTGAAGAGCATCCCTCACACTGAGCACATCCTGCTCTGATAAACACCCACAGGAGGGCAGCACCTGCTCCACTCGAGGTGAGATGCGGAGCCCAGGAACTCTGAGCCCCTTGCTCTCCTCTTTTCTTACGACAGTGGCCCTGGATCTTTTTGTGATAGTTCAACATGTCTCCAAACCTGGCCCGCATTTCCAGGCTATTATTTTCTTTCTGTTGTTCAGATCGAGTTGGCTTGTGTCTTTAGGTTCCCTGCACTCTTCCCCTTTTTATCTTTATTCTGCTGTAGAGTCAACCTATGGGGTTTTAAACTATGGTTATTGCAATTTTTAAAGATTTATTTCCTGTTTTTATGTGTGTCTGGGTGTGTGTCTGTGTGTAAGCATGTGCACATGTGTGTAAGCGGGTACCTGAGGAATTCAGAAGAGGGTGTTGGGTCCCCTAGGGCTGGACAGTTACACGCAGTTGTGAGCAGCTGGGCATCGGTTCCGGGATTCGAACTCCAGTCTTCATTATTTGAACAACAAGCCCTCTTAACCACTGAGTCATCTCTCTAACCTTTCTTTTGACAGGATTGCTTGTAGCCCAGGATAGCCTCAAATTCCCTACGTGGTGAAGCATGGCCTTGAACTCACAACCGCCTGATTCTGATTTGGTCTTTCTCTGCAAGCCGAACCCCCCACTTTGGGCCTCTTGACATGGAGGTTCCTTCCCACCAAAGCGAGTTTGGTGGGGCTCCCTGACCACCCCAATGCTCCATCCTGTGTCCCAGGAATTCTACTGAAGTATTTTCAACACATCAAACATTATCAGGGTTCTTCAGAGAAGTCTATTCAGTTTTTCCGGAAGCAGAACAGGATGTGGCACCAAACAAAAGCTGGCATTTCCGTACCTTTCCTCTAGGACCCGGGAGCTGGCTCAGCTCCCCCTTCTGCCCAGTGAGTCTTTCTGTCCAGGGAATGGAAATCTTTCCTGATCAGACAACAGTGATGGATGCTTACAGACTGAGGAACCCAAGTTTTGAATTTTAATTTGTCTGAGATGGGGTCTCTTGTATCTCATCTGAAAGTTGCTAAATACCTGAGGATGACCTGGAGCTAATCCTCCTGCCTCTGCGCCTCAGTACCTGAGACTCCCATCTGTACAAGGTTCCTGGGTTGTTAGGTGCTGGGGAATCAAACCTAAGGCTTTGTCTCCACAAGGCAAGCCCTCTAACTCAGCTGCATTTCCAGCCTACACTTACTTAATTCAACTTTTTTTTTTGAGACAGGGTTTCTCTGTGTAAACTTCCCTGACTATTGTGGACCCTACTCTGTAGACCAGGCTGGCCTTGAACTCATAGACCCACCTGCCTCTGCCTCCGAGTGCAGGGACTAATGGCGTGCACCACCAGCCACATTAATTTTTTAGAATTTAATTTTATGTGTATGGGTATGTGCCTGTATGAATGTCTGTGAACCGCTTGAATGCCTAGCACCCGAAGAGGCCAGAGGAGGGCGTCACAGCCCCTGGAACTGGAGCTGCAGATAGTCGTGAGTCACCAAGTGGATGCTGGGAAGTGCACCTAGGTCTTCTGGAAGAGCAGCTGACACTCTGAGGCAACTTTCCAACCCCCTTTAATTTACTTTTGAGACAGGATCTCATGGAGCTCAGGCTGGCCTTGAACTCACCAGACACTCTGCCTCCTTCTTCCTTGTATCACAGGTATGCAATGCCATCCCTGGTTTATGTTGAGCTAAGGTTTGAACCTACAACCTTGTGCTTGTTAGGCAAGCCCTCTACCTCAGCCTTCCTTGGTTTGTTTCAGTGCTGGGAATATAGAATCCAGAGTACTACCCTTAGCGAGGTGCTCCACCCCGTGTTACCCCCTCCATTTCCTCTAATTTAAATGGATTTAAGGAGAATCATCCAGCCAGAGGTGGCTGCAGTATGAACAGCTCAATGCCATCTCTTCCCTTGGGACAAAGGTGGTTTGCAGGGGTCTGTCCTGATACACATGGAGTCTAAGCTATGCCTCTCTTTCTGGGCTGCTGCAGGCTTGTGCATCTGAAGAGACTGGATTAAGGGGCTGGGGAGATGGCTCAGTGGTTAAGAGCACTGGCTGCTCTTGCAGAGGACCCAGGTTTGGTTCCCAGCACCTACATGGCAGCTCTCAACCATTCATAACTCCAGTTCCAGAGGATGTGACGCCCTCTGCTGGCAACTATGGACACTGCATGCAAATGGTGCCCGGACATAGAGTACTCATACATACACATAAGAACTAAATATGCATTGCTGGGGACTGCAGACCCTCAGACCCTGAACTTTCTATGACCCTTTGCCTGCCGGAATGAACAGCTTGTTTTCCTGTGCTTGCAGCTGCTCTGAGCACGAGACCCTCATGAGTTCCTGATAACAAGAAAGTGGTTACTGGTGGGCTTGCAGCTGAAAAATCCCGAGAGCTAGGGGAGTGGCCAATAGTCAAGGAGAGCACTATATAAGCTTCCCTGGAGCATAATACAATTGGCATTCTTGTTTCGGGAGTGACCCATGTCTCTGTG